GGAAGCCCCAAGCCTCGTCAATTGCGCATCCGAGGCGAACGAAGAGAACATGTTTGGTCTCCCCACTATCTTGTGTCCCTACAGCCCGACGAATGGATCTCGGTAAACTTCCTGGTTTCGCGCCGAACTGGAAGGACGAATAACCGCCCGCGATGTTTCCGCGATAATCATGCTAAGTACCGAGCGACCCGACCTAGCTTCGGTCTTAGGCTCATCGAACCGATCAGGCACAACGCGTGGCGGCAGTTCTTGTTCGGGAATGGATACCGACCAAGACCCAATCAAATCACTTACGTCAGTCAACTTTCTCCAAAAAGTGCATCCAGGGGAAAGAACGAGCTCGCCTTGAGTACGACCTACTCTCTAACTGAGATACTCAACTCAGAGAGTGGGGGACAAACTGTAGGGCCAAAAATCGTCCTTGGCCCAAATAGGGAAAAAGGACCATTAGCGAAGAAGGACCAAGCCCAGTCCGCAAAGGCCAAGCCGTAGTTCTCTTCTAACATGAGGAACAAACCGGCCCAAACTGAGGGGCACAAGCCTCTCAAACCTGGCCCTGTCCTAGGTCCATGGACAAATCCAAAGCCCAAACCCCTCAGAATACCTTCCTATTCCTGATCCCTTTCTATTCGGAGTTACTCTAATCAGAACACCTTCCTATACGGACACTGGTAAGACAGCTTACCACAAACCCTAATTCTTCTAGGGTTTGCATCAGAGTCGTACTAGGACTCCTACCTCTACCAAGATTGGGAGAACAGACGATCACTATATAAACAGAGGCCAGCCCTCTCACACAGGACATCGACATTACACCCTCACACGAGACTCTCACTCGAGAGTTTACTGATTCGCCGTAGTCACAGCCCCGAACGACTTCCGGTAATCTCTTTTCCTTACCTCACTAAATAGCCCTTTAACTTGCTGACTTGAGAGCTCGGAGTGCCTACGGCAAACACCACCCCGTGTTTCCGGGTTCACGCGTGTGTTTTCTCTACGTGTGCAGGTGCAGCAGATCGCTAGTGGTCTTGACCTCACGGGATCAGACCCCCCTTCCGTACAGGTAGATTTTTACGTCTACAATATACGTTAGGAAAACTAATATTTGTAAATGACAAATATTAGTTTTCCTTATGACAAATATTAGTTTTCCTAATTAACAATATTCATATCTTCACATACTCAACCAGGATCTCTCGATAAAACCCTCCACCGCTAGCATTTCCTGAGGCGTCATTGAGTTATAGTGCTAGTTGATCCATAGTACAAGTCGTTACAGCTGAATTACATGACTGCCAAAACATGCCATTTCATCGAAGACAGCCATTGGGACCATGCAGCTGCTTCCACGTATTGTGTCTTTCTGCGTAAACTCCTAGCTAGCTTCAAAATATTTATAGGCAAAATATATCCCCATGTAACAAAACAAAATTGGGATGAAGTTTATTGTTCACACAATTATTTAATTAGAAAATAATAATTCTTCTTTTTTCATGTATAAAAGAAGGACAGAATATATAATATAATAATAAGGGTTCAATACTGTATTTTTTTTTTTTTTTTTGGTAAACCCAGTAATTATATAAGAAGAATTAAAAAAATACAGAGTAAGAGAGGGAGCTCCCCTTGGACAGGCCCAAGAGGAACAAAAAGCAAAACAATCGAAGACAAAAGGATATACAATCCTTTACAAAAGCTCTATCAAAGGCCTAAGCAAAACAAGGCCTAAGGTCAATCTATACAAAGGCCTGCAGGCTGAAAAGAGGTCCTCATTGTAGGAACAGTAGTGAAGCCACGAACGGGAAATTACCAACTCCGTAATCTACAAGGAGGTGCGCCTCTCTCCACCCATACTTCTAATCGGACGGCTCAAAGAATTTCCCCAACACATAGGTAATTAATGTAAAATTTTGAAGACATGATCCTTAGTTATAGCTGAGTGGAATATTTGACTCAATATAGATAATTAATTTTGTTCCCCATATAAGCTCTTGGTTTGGTGTGAACGTGCCTTCCATGATCAAAATATATTTAAGTTACAAAATTATTCAGTATATAAATATAACTCAACAAAGTCAGAAAAAGACTAAAGAGACATTAATTGCTAGAGTGCTAATTGCGTGATAATATTTTTTATAAAATGAATTATTATAAAATTAAGTTTAGTAAATCTTTTCACATGATCTTATTATAAGTTCAATGTGGGTCATATAGCTTTGCTTATGTGACGTGTTGGAGGTTGGGATAAAAGTGTGGGATTTAACTAATTTATTTTAGAGTAAACGACTTTTTCCCATCCAAATAATGGTTTAATGACACTTTCTTACCCACATACTTTAAAAATATTATTTTACTATCTAAATTTATATTCAATTTCTTATTTCGGCATCGTTGTGACTTCATACCACCACCATTCTCTTTTCCGATCATCACTCACCAAAACCCCTCAAACCCTACTCCCGCCGACCCCTCCAATCACCGGCAATCAAGCGATTAAAATTTACAGAACCGCCCCTCCCAAATCAAATTCCAATCAATCTCAAACACCAAAACCCAACCTTCAATTACCAAAAGATTCATCGACCTCCCTTCTTCAAAAGCCTTAACAGTTTGAACCGAGTTTACTCTGTATTCACTCCTAAATATAAATTTGGGTAGTAAAGTGGTATTATAAAAGTTTATGTGTGAAAATGTATTATTAAATTATTATTTTGGTGGGAAAATGTTGTTAACTCTTTTTTTTAACTTTAGTCTCTAACTAGTTGGAACACTTTTTTTTTTTTTTTTCTATGTTATACATATACTATTCTTGATATAAATTTATTTTAACCATGAATATATGTTATTGGACCTGTGTTATAAAGTATTATTTTAGTCCAATATAATGAATTCAACCGTCAATATATGGTCTATTGTTCTTGACGAAATTCAATGGTAAATATATATGATGAACATTTTAAGACAAATATTATTGAAATTAAAAATATGCTATAAAAAATTAATTTTAATTCATAATATAAATATAAATATTTTTTAATATGTAATATATTTTTCATTTGATATACATAATTATTTAATATACACATTTATTTACTTATTTAATAATTAAATTTTAGTATATATATTCTTTTCTATAGGGGTGGGTACTGAGTCTACTGACAACTGAATACTTTCGAGTTCAGGCCAAGTTTGTCAAACCCGACCCAACCTGAAACAAATTGAGTTTGTTTAAATTGGACCTGGCTCAACCCAATACTTACAAACATTAGGTCGTTTGTTTTATTATATGAGAAAAACTATTATACTTTTTTAATTATTTTTAGATCTTTTAAGTTTATTGACTTAATTAAATATTTCAGATTTTTTTTTAAATTAATAAAAATAATCCCATCACCCATAATTACCAGATTCTGACAACCGCGATCGGGGGTGGTCAGAATCTGTCACAACGGTCTAAAAACGATCAAAATTGGTTGTTTATTCACCAATTTAGCCATCAGTGTTGGCCAAAGAAATAGCTATCATTGACGGTCATATCTTGGCGGTCTCTGACGGCTGGATTTGGCCTTTTGTGACTGTCGACGGCCAGATCTGGCCATTGATTTGACATTTTCCAGCCAAATCCATAGTAGATTTGGTCAGAAAAGACCCGATCGACACACCACTGGTCAGATTTGACTGGTTTACATCGTAATGGTAGATTTCAACTAGATTCTGATGGTAGTGGCCAGAATCTAACATTGTGGTAGGTGAGAGTATTTTTGTTATTTTATAAATTTTTTATATATTAGGTTATTTAGTTAAATTAGCAAATTTAGAAGATTTTTTTATTAATTTTTAAATTTTATCTCGTAATAGTGATTCTATTTAACTACCTAATATTATTTTCAAAAACTTATCTAAAATAAAAAAACAAACTTACCCCATTTTTTATGGGTAAATGGGAATATTATAAAGAATAAAAAATACAACCATCCACGGCACCAAGAAGCAAGAACTAAAGAAAGAGTCTAAGTGGTCCACCAATCACCTCAAAAGTGCCTATATAAACCCAGGTGAAAGTAAATGTAAAGTGAACAAAACAACACCTATGCACTGACCTCCACAGCTGCAGCCTGCAGCTACCAAACAAACCACGAAGAGGAACACCACATTCCTGGTGTCAGAAACCTTGCAATTACCGAAACAGACAATCCAGCTACAAGCAAACTAAGTCAGAACGCAGACCCACTGAGCCTACTGCCAGCGGCCAAGAAAATATCCCGATAATCTTTATGTGAAATATTAAATCTTTAATAAAAATCAATTTGTTAGTAATTAATATATATATATATTACTTACATGATTCATGAACCATGTTTGAAATGCTTCATTATTGACTTTTTGAATATAGTGATTTGTTATATTAAGGAAAAGTATATTGTTAGACGTGATTGATCACGAACACGCATCTATGTGCTTAAATTGAGCCCATGATCTATCAAGATGCACTCCAACTCCTTTCCCAACCATCTAATCATCATTATCATTTTGAATTTGTTCATTAGTGTTAAAGGTTTTAATTATTTGGTTGTTCTTGGACCAAATGTAATGAAATGATATCAGTTGGGTCCCCTAAAGAAGAAAATGATATGAAGTGATATTACTACAAGACACTTTGCTCCAGAGTCTACACCAAGTCAGGTCAAAATGTTTAAATACATGTCTAATGTCAAGATTAGGTGTGTCACCAACCCTTCAATTGAATAATATCCATATATTATAACATATATATGTGTTGGTGTTGGTTTTTACAATTTATCACTCGGTTTTAATACTGAAATTACTGGTCGGATAAAAACTCTAATGACTATCCTTATTAACAATTCAATAGAGACTCGAACTTAGAAACTCTTAAGTAATATCCAAGAATCTTTATCAAACCACTCGACTTCAACACATCTTATTTTCATAAATCGTTTTAGAGGCAAATGATACCAAGTTGAAGCTGTACAACAGAGTTGATGTGTGAACTAATTCTTCACTATTATTAGTTGATGTACTTTTGACGAAAGTTTATATATATTTTTCACAAAAAGACGAACCAAACTAAGAGTCTAAAATGTTAGATACATCTAGTTATGGCGCAATATATTGAGACTTTCCCAGTATTTATCCTCCAAGTTATGCACTTGGTTCATTCCATCAAACTTACCCCGATCGAAAGAAGCAAGAACTTTGGTGTCATAAGGAGGCATGGTGCATGGATTTGTAATGGAAGGACCCTTGACCAATGTTTCCATCATGAACTTCTCCTGCAACCCATTTGCCCGACAAGCCATAGTCTCTGAGCATACCTCCACAGCTCCATCAGGTACCTTCGGTTTGAACTTCAATAGCTTTGCATACTCATTTAGCAAATGAAACATGTAATCATATATGTAGTCCATTTTCAGTTCTTCTTGGATAAACTTGCTGGCCGCTTTCCCAATTTCTTGTGCCTGCCAAATCATATGGCATTACAAACATGAACTAAATTGTTATCAGAGAAAGTAATTAAGTTAGGTACGTACCTTTTGTCTATTAAAATTACCCCAATCTACAGCAAACTTGATGGATTTGCACTTGTTGTCTTCCCTGATTGGCCAGTAGTGTTTCATAGGTTGTAGACATCTCGTGAAGAAATCATGGTATTTGGAATTTACAAAGAGTGTCATAGAGTCACAAGCTAGAATGTATTTCTCACTAACGGACCATGCATTTCCTTCTATGTAGATTTTGTACCTATGTAAGTAGGTAAAAATCAATAAATAAATAAATGAAAGAAAGAAAGACAATATATACTGCAAATCAAATTATGGGAGAAGTCATTCTGGAAACAATTTTTACCTGTGTGTGCATTGGCTTGCTAGGTCTGAATGCTTAAACCCTTGACTAGACTCATGGCTCCAATCCTACAAAATTATATAAGTAAATACCAAATAAAATTAATCACTATTGTTTACAACACAACAGACCAGAAATACAAGAAAATTACCAGGTTATAAATTCGAGCATTCCAATCCATTTGACCGGAGACATTGCATGTGAGAAGGTCTATTCTAGATTTACTGCCTGAGAAAGCGTTTCCTTTCCAGTAAGCATACGGTACCCTGTCTATCCATTTTGTCTGATTGTTGCCTGCTTTAATTTCCCTTAACAAACTATCCCATGGTTTTATATTTATCTCCTCCCTGTACCAACCATAAAAGATAAACTTTATCTAACTCACCAATAATTTATTATATAGTAATAAGGAGAAGAGTTGTAATTATACCATCCCCAAAACGACCAATCAGGGAACGCAATATCCATGGTTGACTCACTGCCACAGTACGCAAATAATGGCGGTGGGGTTCTTGATTTTGGTCCACGGTGGTCGCTCGACCGGATGGCCGGCGAATCATCACAGTCAAACATCAACTCTAAGTCCGGTAATTTTCCGGGATACCTCCTAAGAAGTTGCACGATACCCCATATAGTGTACACATCTCTTGTTTGATAAGATTTTCGGAACTGCTGGATATATGCCTTGCCGTCCACAATTATAAGACGAAAATGAGCCGTTGGATGAGCTCTTTCCATCATCTCCCGGCTGATTCCTGTACTTTTCCATGGTCTTAAATCTTCGTGGATCCAGCGAAAATATTCTGGGCATGTCGGCTGCGACGATGGGATGCCGCGGTTTTTTGTTTGGAAATTTTTTGGGTAATTTGATGGACAAGTTTGTGTTTGGTCTTTGCTGCTGCAATTCAGAGGGATTATGATTTCTTGAGGTGGGTGTTGGGAAATAATAGCAGATAACTCAAACTGCAAAAATTGATGAAAAAAACAAAGAAGCAACCAATTAAGTAAATGTATTTACCTTTACCAAGTGCCAAAAAAAATGAAAAATGGTAATACAAAAGCGTTTAGAAAAATACACAACTATAAAAAAAATTCGACATATACTTACAGTAGCGCCAGTCCAGAAGGAAGAGATATAAACAACAAGAGAAACAATGGCTATCATAAGCAACGCTGCTGCAAGACCATTCTTCCAATTTCTAGACTGAACAGACTTACAGGAAAATCGATCCATAGTTATATATACTTTAAGAACACTCCGGATAAATTAGAAATTCAGTTAGAAGGTTTCTTCTGAGTTGAAATTCTCTCCGAGTTTAACAAAATTTAATCGCGTACTCATTCTTTTCGGTCAACATACTGTATATGCAACTTCTACATACAATAATAATATTTGTCTTATTATTTCAAAGTTCCCATGGAAAATTATCATGTGATTGGTCAATATTTTAACAATTTCTTGGTCTTATTGTTTTATTGTTCCCAAGGAGAGGTGTCACGTGATTGGTGAATGGTGACATGGACACGTGGCTAATTATTATATGGTAAATTAGGTGAGGAGCCGTCCCCATCTTTCCGGTGGCGGTGGTCCCAACGCGCATATGGGTTATCTAAAGTTTTACTATAAAATTCAAGGTCAAGGCTGAGCTTTGGTCTTTGGATGATGCAAGGTGCTAATAAATATTCTAAACCTCCCAAGGTTTCCTAATATAACCCTTGCCGTTTCTGAAACGTTACTGAGAAATCTAAAGATTCCCATCTACCCCATTTCAATTTCTAAGAATGCCAAACTCATCCTCTAAGCTCCCTTCTTAGAGTTTTGTGGTTGAGTTGTAGGGATTAGGAAAAGACCCCGTGAGGAGAGGGATAGAGATGACAGGTATTTACTTTTGTTTTCATTTCGATGGGTTTTGCTCATTAAGGTGCAGAGCTTTATGAAATTGGATTTTACTGGTCATTTACACTGTTACAGAGCTTTTTCTGAATAAGAAGAGAGGTGTATGGGAGTTGAAGGCAGGCAGGGGGTTTTGTTTTAATCCTTGGGTTGTCTGCTATGGTGTGATACTTAATAGATTGGTGGTGTCTTGGTGCTGGTTTTGATTGTATTGATCTAGAATTCATGTATGCTGGAAAAATGAACATTGAATTTTCAACTGAATAATGACGAGGAGTGCGACATGAATATGACTGTTGAGTCAGGGAGGAGAGAGAGAGAAAGAAAATTAATTTATATAGTCATTTGAATTACTTTTCTACCCTTTAACGGACAAGTATTGTTGATTTGAATATAGTTTACGTATGCTGGAAATTTCAATTGAATAATGAAGGGCAGTGCGACGTGATCACGTGAATGACTGTTCAGTCAGGAAGGAGAGAGACAGAAAGAAAATTAATTTATATAGTCATTTGAATTACTTTTCTACCCTTTATTCATTTGAATGACGGAAAACTATTAAGGATCAAATAACGACAAGGGGTTCACAGTTATTTCTTATACCAGAGAGGGCCCGTTTGGATGGGGAAATATTAGATAACACTCGGGTAATATTTTTTAAACTAGACAGATGACAATGTTTGATTGATTTGTAAAAAATTATTCTTAGAATCTTTTATGATAAACAGTGGCATTTAGGGGAGTAAGTTGTCGGAAATAATATTATTACCTTGACACGTGCGGGGGGCGGGGGGGATTGGATGTCCCATTTTGCCCCTAAACAGTTGACCATTTGGTCTAAATTATCCTTATATTTGTTAAGATTTATAAAACACGCAATTCACTCGTGCCCTTTTGTCCTCACTTTTTAAATTTTTTAGATGACATTGACATTGTACCTAGAACTGGCCACCACCCTAGTTGTTGTTGACTACCGTCGGAGGCTGCCGAAAGTCGTCATAATAGTGTAAGACTGGCAGTATATGGCCAGCCATGCATCGGCGAGGCATTTTTTGACCACAAATCATAGATCCATGGTCGAAACGGCAATATCTGGCCGTTTTACAGCTAGATATGTGGTCATTTCACATATAATATCCCCTTTCTCACACACTTTCTAAACATTCTCAGTAATCTTCAAGGTGATATTTCTTTCTGTTAATATAATATCCCCTTATAATAAAACATTATATGATCTAAATGCCCTCAAAGGGTAAAAATATACTTAGGGGGGTTTAGAGTCCTAGGCGGCTAAAGGTTAAGTCCAACCCATGTAGACCCAGTAGAACAGGTCCATACCCACAAGTGAATCAGTACCCGTCAAAATAATATAAGGTACAGATCCACCATTTTGGACCCATTTTTATTTTACCCGTACTTGGCCCGGTCCTTTTTTGCAGGTGAGTCGGGTTATTTGCGGGTCCGCAGGTTACCCATGACAAAAAAAAAAATATAAAAGGTAAAAGCCTAAACCGTAATTTCGTAAATGGTAAATCCCTAATCCCTAATCCTCTTCTCATTTATTTCGGTCATTCCATTCTTCCATTCCTAAAAATAAATCGAATTCCATTCTTCCATTCATAAGTTTCTTTAATCTCAATATTAGAAGTTCTTTGATTTGCTTTTTCATTAATATAACACACATAACACAACCAATTGTAAGTTTCTTTATACTTAATTACTATTCTGGGTTTTTGGGTAGCTGGAGTTTCGAATTGTGGATTATGGATTTATTGCTCTTAACAGGATTATATTGTATGGATGGATTTATATATCAATTTAGAATTGAAGTGTTGTGTTATGCATATTAAGGTTTGATAAATTGCACTGGTGGTATTGCATGACATTAGAATTTTGATTTTTTAATGCAGAATTGCCGATTTTTAAAATTGGGAATGATACTCTATGCTTTTGGCAATTGAATCCGAATTTTAATTTAGTGATTAGAATAAGAACCTGGTACTTAATCTCCCATGGTCTAAAGTAAGAATATTAATTTGTTGCCACTAACAATGTCTCCATATTATCGTTTTCAAATGGGGTGACACATGACTCACCTTTTTTCAAAAACAAAAACAATAAAACACTTCATATACTTTGACATCTAAATATTATCAAATAGACATTATGGATATATACAGAACATAAATAGTGTGTTATTATTCTCTTTCATATTTCAACATAAATATGTAAGTTGGTTACCTCATTTTTTTGTTTCATGTTATGTTCAAGCCGACATATATAGATATATATATATATATATATATATATAAGTTTTAATTACTTAATTATTATATATTAATTATTATTAGTACTATCATATAAGTTGATTGTGGGGTGGTTGTAAGTTGTAACTGTAAAAAATGAAAACTACAGAAATTTTAGGAGTGTAACTATAAAAATTGAAAATTAAAGCGAACAGTACGAATAGAGTATGGATCCAATATTTTGGGCCCTTTTAAAACTGACCCATTTTAGGCTTGTACCCGTTGAGACCGCACGGTAACCATTCGGTCGGCTCGTGCCCACCTGGCCGGCCCGTTTTGCTAGGTTTAACCCAATGATTGTTTCTCCTCTGCAAGCCCAAAAATCATCTTGATGTATGAACCAAAATCTAGATCCTGGTTTGATGGATTTTACGTTAAAATTTCAAACATCTTTTATTAATAAACCAAGATACAATAAGATTGTCAAAGTGTTACATTAACATACATCTCAAATTACTTCTGTTTATTGAAACCATCCCACCATATATTCTCCCAATTCTCCACTTTTATTATTGCATTTAAATTTTCTTCCATAAGAAGCCCAAGTCTCTAACCCATTGGCGATGCAAGCCATAGTCTCTGAACATATTTTCCATGGCTCCATTAGATACCATCGGAGTGAACTTCATAAGCTTAACATACTTATTTAACAAATGAAACATGTAAATCCATTTTAAGTTCTTCTCAAATGAAAATTGTAAATCTGGGTGGTGACAAGTTCGAAGAGGCTCCTACAGTTGTCTGAGATCTCTCCATAAAACTCTCTACCGTGTTTGGCATTTCCTGAGGCGGCTTTGAGTTCCATGAATGCCAAAACATGCCATTTCATTGAAGGTAAGCATTGGGACCATACAGCTGCTTCCATGTGTTGTGTCTTCTTGTATAAGCTTCGTTGATTTTTCTAGCTTCATTAAAGGCAAAAATATATCCCCATATAACAAGAACAAAATTTGGACAAGTTTAGTAACAATTAATAAAATAATAATGAGGGCTGCAACACTGTCTACATAACAACTAATACATACATGATAGTATTTTATTGTCTAATTGTTGATTGATGGTCTCTTGTAACGTGTAATTTTATACTAACACATGATCTTTATAATACTAGACTGGAATATTTGGCTCAATATAAATTATTAATTTTTTTTCCTCCATATAAGCTCTTGATTTGGTGTGAACATGCCATCAGAATATATTAGGTTAAAAGTTCATAAATTATTGGGTTCGTATATAAATATAACTCAACGAAGTCAGAAAAAGACACGACTAATTCTTTATTGCTAGAGTGCTAATTGCATCATATTTATTATAAACAATTATTATAGCATCAAGTTTATTGTTTGAGAGGGTATATAAATAATTATCCAAAAAAAAAACCCAATAGTCGTCGGTTGGACTGTATAAAAGGCTACATGAAAAACTTCCCAAATTCCTTTTCAAGTGTTAAAAGGTTAAAATTATTAAATTATAATTAGATAGCTTTTGGACCAAATGAAATGGCATTTAATTACAAGAGAAAACAACTTTTTCCCACCCAAGGTTTGCCTTAATGACACTTTCCTACCCAAAAAGTTATAAAATACTACTTTTCCACCCACAGTTTATATTTTGTTACTATCTAAAGCTGATTCCGGCGGCAAAAATTCTCTCTATCACCACCATTTGAACCTCTAGTCTTCTCTCTACAAAATTCATCTCACTCAGGCACCTGATTTCTCGCCGATTGCTAGCCACTGCAAAGCTAGAGTTAGAACTGGGCATTTGGGATCGGGTCCAAAAACTTGCCCAAAAACATGGTCCTAGGACCGATCCTAGCAGGTCTGGTCTCAAAATTGAACCAGGCCTAAGGAGGAGGGCTTGGTCCCTCCACTGGGCCCTCCTCTAAGGCCCGGGCCAAAACCCTTTTGGTTTATTTTTTTAGCCCTCTAGATAATTACTAAAACCTCCTATAAATTTTGAAATAGATAGAAATTATAGAGGTTAAAATAAAATTTTAAAAAATTTAAAAAATTTGCATTTAATAACCGTTGGCTGTTGCCCCCGAAAATTACTAATCTACCCTAAAAATTACATAAACCTCCCTACAAAATTTCGTTTCACCCTTAAAATATAAAAAAAGATAGGGGGGAAAATGAATTTTTTGCAGGCCCAGTCTTAGGGACTGATCCAAGTCTTGAAATTGCTCATGGGCCTGGGACCGATCCCAGACTCAAATG